CCGCCACCCCCCCCCCCCGCCCCGCCCCCCAGCCCTGCGCCCCGCCCTCCTCCCGCCAGTGGCCGCCCGCGGCCCGTCGGCGTCCTCCCGCCGCTCGTCCTCAGCCTCACTCGCGTCCGGCCCCGCCGAGCGCACCGCCTCCTTACCGCCTCCACTAGGTCCATCACGGCGCCTCGTGAGCCACCACCGCCACCGCCGCCGCTGCAGAGGCCCGTTACCTGGGCAGCAAACGCAGCTTCCGGGAGCTGTGGGAGGAGACTTCCGGCCGGAAACCCGAGCCCCTGACTTTGGATTCCGGGCGCCTGCGGCCTCGGGGCACCGTCCGCGCGTTCCGGGGGCGAAGCCCCGCGAGGCCGGTGTCCTGTTCCCAGATGGCGTTCTTTTCCTAGTCGTGACTACTGAAACCAACCAGTGATCCATGGGGCGGTGCCCACTGCTGAGTGATTGGGTCGGGCTGTTCTGACGGTCGTCCTTCCCAAAAGCCGCTTGTGCATTCAGGCTGCGAGGAAGGCCGTGCAGGGCCACGTTCCCGAGCCTGGACTCTGATCTTTCCGTTTTCTCCACCTGTGACGGGCTCTTTAGATCAAAGGAGGGTCATCGGGGTTTGGAGAAAAGGACGCAGGTTGTCGAGTTAGACCTAGGTTTCTGATCACGGCTTTCCTGCTTACTTGTATCTCAGTTTCCCTCTCTGTAAGAATTAAATATTCCCTGTGAGTCCCTTGTAATGGAGCCTCTTATAGTAAGTGCTCAATAAATTTAACTCTTAATTTGTTCCTTCGTTGAACACGTGCATTCCTTGTTTCATTCATTAAACAGGAACTGTTTTAGGTCCTAGGGATTCCGCAGGGAGCAAAATCAACAAAAGTGCCAGCCTTCATGGAGATTATATTCTGGTGAGGAGAGACAAAAATAAATGAGGAAAACATGTGGTATGTTAAACGGTGGTGAATGCCAAGGAGAAAAATAAAACAGGAAAGGTGAATGGGAGCAATAAGGTGGTTTCAATTGAAAATGGGGTGGTCAAAAAAATAAAATAAAATAAGATGGGGGTGGTCAAGAAAGGTCTCACTGAGAAGAGGATCTTTGACTTAGGCATACATCTCAAGAAGTTAGCAAAAGAAGGGTAAACTGAAAAATAATGGCAGGAAGAAATTAAAAAGATAAGAGAAATTAATAAAAGAGAAAGCAAGCATTCAACAGAGAGGCTCCACAAACTAATATTAGCTCCTTGAAAAGACAAGTAAATTCAGCAAACCCTGGAAAGACTGATCAAGAAAAAAAGCAAAATTAACCAATATCAGAACAATAAAATGGCATGACTACAAATGCCATAGACATTAAAAGATCGTAGGATATTACGAACAACTCTAGGCCAATAAATTTGAAAATTTAGAAGAAATGAGCAAATACCTGGAAAAACACAAGTTAACTAAAGGTACACAAGAAGAAATAGAAAATCTGAACAATCCTATATCTGTTTAAGAAATTGATGCATAAGTAAAAAACCTTCTCACAAAGAAAACCTAAATCTCAAATGGCATGATTGGGCTGGCAGGTTAGCTCAGCTGGTTAGAGCACAGCCTTAAAACACCAAGGTCATTATTTGGATCCCTGTAAGGCCAGCTGCAAAAAAAAAAAGTTTCAAATGGTATAGTTGGTAAACTCTACCAAACTTAAAAAAAAACCAAAACACCCATACACAGACTTTTCCAAATAATGGAAAGAGAGAGCACTTACTAACATAACATACCTTATGAGGCAAGCATAACCTGAACACCAAAACCTAACAAGGATGTTTCAAGAAAAGTCAAAATTAAAGACCAACATCTTTTAGAAATACAGGTGCAAAGATTCCAAACAAAATATCAGCAAGTCAAATGTACATTGTTGTATTCAGCAATATGTAAATGGGATAATAAATCACACATTGGGTTTATTCTAGGATCATGGAAAAAGGATAGTTTTTCAATAAATGGTTCTGGATCAATTGGATATTCATATGGAAAAATTATTGAACCCTTTCTCACACAAAAATTAGTTCAAGTGGATTATAGACATACATGTGATAGGTAAAATCATAAAACTTCTAAAATAAAAAAACCAAAAAAACAAAACATAGGTAAATATTTTCATGACTTGTGGTGAAATAGATTTTGTAAAAAGGTCATAAAAAGTACTACCCATGAAAGAAAAGATGGTTAAGTTGGACATCATTAAAATTAAGAACTTTATTTCATTAAAAGACATCATTAAGGCAAACTAAAGACTGACAGAAGATATTCACAGTACATATATTTAACAAAAAGCTTATAACAAATGTTTCCTAAAAATCAATAAAAAAAAACAATCCAATTAAAAATAGGCAGAAGACTTAAACAGGCATTTCACAAAAGAGGACAGCTAAATGGTTAATAAATACATGAAAAGGTGCTGAACATCATTAATCATCAGAAATATGCAAATTAAAATCACATTGAGATACCACTAGACACCTACCAGGATGGCAAAAATTAAAAAGACTGACTGTAGTGGACTGAATTATGTCCCCCCAAAACTCCCTGAGGCTTGCATTGTGTCCCTCAAGTCTTACTGTTAGAAACTTGGTCCCCACTGTGACTGTTAAGAGGGTGGGAAATCCTATTATTGAGAGGTGGGATCTTGAAGAGGTGATTGGACTGTAGGACCCTGCAGTAGTGAATGGATTAAAAATGGTGGTCGGGGCATGGTGCTGAGGGCTTTAAAAGAAGAGAGAGGAAAGTCTGTCTCTCTCTTTGCACTCTCTACTTCCACCATCTTGCAATGTGAGACCCCAGGGTCACTGTTGCCAACACCAAGACCATCACCAGATGTGTTCCCTGGACTCTGGACTTCCTAGCCTCCGAAACTGTAAGCAATAAATTTCACTTTTCTTTATAAAATACCCAGTTCCAGGTATTTTGTCATAAGCAACAGAAATGGACTAAAACGCTGACAATATCAAATTCTGGCAAGAATACGGATAAACTGGATAGTGCCCACATTTCTGATGGGAGTATAAATTGGTAGAAGCATTTTGGAAAACTGTTCGGAAGTAAAGCTAAATATATGCTAATTATGACCAGCAATTTCACTCCCAGATATATACCCTAGAGAAATTAGTGCATATGTTCACCAAAAGACATGTACAGTTATTTTCACAAAGCTCTCTTTATAACAGCAAAAAATTACAAACAACCAAACATCCATCAACAGGAGAGTGGAAAAACAAATTGTAATATAGTCATGCAATGAAATACAGTAACTAAAAAGAATGAATAACTGCCACATATAACAACATGGATGAATCTCACAAACATAATGATGTGCAAAAGAAGCCTCTGGTGGATTAAATATGGCCTCAAATTTCTTGCAACTCCTCCCGGTGATGTACAACTTCCAAAGCAATGTCTTTGCAGCTTCTGCATTTGATCTTCCTAGAATGCTGGCTTTCAGGAAGGAAAAAGCTCTACCTCTTGAAGCTGACAATCTAGCTGGGGGAGACACATCATAAACACATAAGTAAATAATTATAAAATATGGCGAGCAGGGAAAATACTGCCATGAAGAAAAATAAAGCAGGATATGAAGATAGAAAGCAGATGGGGTGGAAATTTGAGGCATGGAAGTTGCTATTTTAGAGAGTGGTCTGGGAAGGCCTCTCTGATAAAGGTGACATTTGAGAGGAGATTTAAAAGAAGTGGGGGACCTTGCCATGCAAGAAATGGAGGATCAGGGGGCCGGCCCGGTGGCGCACTGCTATAGTGCGCCGCTTGGGAGTGTGGTGGCGCTCCCGCCGAGGGTTCGGATCCCACATACAGACCGGTTCCGCTCACTGGCTGAGTGAGGTGCGGGAGCAACACTGAGGGTTGCAATCCCGTTGCCGGTCCTGGTCCGGTATGGGCGCGACACTGAGGGTTGCGATCCGTTGCCGGACACGAAAAAAGACAAAAAGGAAAAAAAAAAAAAAAAGAAATGGAGGATCAGCACTGCAGGTGCACAGGCCTTGAGACAGTAATGTGGCTCTTAGTAAGCAGGGAGGAGCGTGGTAGAGGGCATGTGGTCAGAGGGGTGGTCGGGCCAGATCATGAATAAGGCCTTGTGAACTATGGTAAGGACATTGGGTTTTATTCTCAGTGAGGGGGAAGCAGAGGTGTGACAGCATCTGACTCATACTTTAGAAGGTGTTTCTGGGTGTGTGGAGAATAGGTTGTAAGGGAGCAAGGGGGGAGCAGGGAGTTCCTGTAGGAGGGTCCTGAAATAATCCAGCTGTGTAGTGATGGTGGGTGACAGTGGTGATGCTGATGAGAAGCGGTCAATTTCTGGGTGTATTTGAAAGGGGTAAGTAAAAAGTCATTCCTGTGGATTGTTGTGGGAAGTGAGAGAATGACAAGAGTTAAGGATGATGCAAATTTGGGGTCTGACCCGCTGTACGAATGCAGTTGGCATTTAATGAGACAGCAAGTGTGGGTATATGATAGAGTTTGCAGGAAGAAAACAGGAGTTCAGTCTGGGATATGTTTAGGTTAGTGATGTCTATCCAATGTCCAAGCGAAGATGCTGAGTACCATGTTGAATAAATGAGTTTGATGTTCAGAGAAAATGTCACAACTGGAGGTGTAAATTTGGGAGTCAAGAGACTGACACATCAAGGGCATAAGTGTAGATAGAGAAAAAGTTCTGAGGACTGAGACCTGGATCCTCCAATGCATAGAAGTAGAGACCCAGGAGGAGGATCCAGTAAAAGAGGCTGACAATGAATGCCGAGGAGGCGGAAGGAAAACCAGGAGTGTGTAGTGTCCTGGAAGCCAAGAGAAGAAAGTGTGTCCAAAAGGAAGAAGCCATCAAGCACATCAGACGCTCCTGAGAACTGAGTAAGAGGACAATGGGCCCTGCCCACCAGATCTAGACGTGGGGGTCCTCAGTGACTTTGACAAGACTGGTTTCAGTGGAGCACAGGGGTGAAAGCCTCGTAGAATGGGCTCCATAGAGAACGGGGAAAGGAAGAGTGTAGACCCCTTGGTGAGTCTCGTTGCAAGCGGGAATGTGTGCTGGAAGGTGACGTAAAGTCAAAAGAGACTTTTGTTTGTCTGTTTTTATTTCTTGGCTTGCTTGGTAAGATGTTTGTAAGCTGATGGAGATGAACTCTCAGAGGAGGAAAAATGAGGAAGCAGAA